AATCAAGGCGAAATTAGCCCAATCTCCCAATAGTCATGGGTTTCCGTCCCTTTTATCGTTTTTAATCATTCTCCCCTTTCCTTAATTCTGTTGTCAGAATTAGTAAATTAACCGTAAGTTCCATAAAATTCAATCCCGGGAAAGTTTAAATAAATGACCGAATTCCTTTTGTTTCTTTTCTCTTGTACGATTTTAATTTTTTTTCTATGTTTTTAATTTAATTGTCGAAAAAATAAAATAACAACGGTATTCCCCCTAGAATTAAATGCTGTTAAAAATAAAGGAATTAAGGGATATTATGTTTTTCCCTTCTCCCCTACTGGTATTAACCCCTCTTCCCATCTTTAATTACGGTACTAAAATAGTCAAAAATTTGAGGCCCCATTTCACCCCGGTCGTATGCTACAAAACGTGGCAGCGAGGTCAACTCCCTTGATGCTTCTCCACGGCAGGTTAATCCGGGTCTAATCCGGGTCTCACCCTATGAACGGTCGGAAATGACAGTCCCTAGACATGCCGAGTCCGGTCACCCATCTCGCCATCTTTGAGGGTTACTCATAAGGCTCAGTGCGCCCAAAATCAGGGGTGCCCTGAGTTCCCCTAATTTTTATTGCCTGGTCATACGAGACTACCATCAAAACACGGATTTGTCCGTGAGGCTAAGTCCCAAAACTGCGGTTCTCAGGCGGCGCACTCCTTGTGGCCGCCTGACAGTTAGCCCGGACCACTTCTCGACGCCCCCGTTGAGGCCCTAGCAACTTACGTCAGACGAAGCGGACGATCTTCAGGGTGATAGCCCGTAAAGGACACCCACGTCGGCGTTTAATTGTCTTATGTTTCAGTTTGTTATGAGTCCTGGGGCTAAGAAGATGCTTCTTGACTCTCTTGTTTCTTCCCGTTTTTGGTCCCGGCACGATTCTTTTTTTCCTTTGTCCTTGCCCTGAGAAGGGTGTTGACCCGCCAGTACGTCTAACGCGAACTCTCCGTCTAGCTCGCTTGAGCACGAATAACCATCTCTTCTTTCTTCCTAAAGCTACCCCTTTGACCTTTCTCTTCTCTGTTCTTTTCCTTTTCTTGGAACTCTCTCCTGCCTCGAATTGCCTCAAGGGGGCTCCATCCTCCTTTATGGCTTTTCCTTTCCCTATTAGGCTGATAAGCGATAAGGCGGGCGGGGACCTGGGCCTAAACAACTTTAACCTAGCCCCCGCCACTGGGTCCTTCCACTTAGATCCGTCTAATTCTGCTATCATATATGCACCCCAGTCAAGTGCCTCAACCACTCAGTAAGGTCCCATCCATCTATTGGCAAGCTTTCCGGTCCAGGTCCTCTCCAGTGCTGCGTCGTAGAGAAGGACCATATCCCCTACGCTCACCCTCTCTTTCCTGATTCGGACGTTCTTATCCCATCTCTCTTTACCCTTGTCCCTTTCCACCGCCAGACGATCGGCTGCTGTCATGAGGTTGTCTTCCAACCCGAAGGCTATCTGTCTTGTTCGGGCAGCGAAGAGTTCCTCTCTAGACATCTCCTCTGCCCAGTCGACGGTTGTCCAATTGTCGACGTGAAACTCTATGGGAAGCGGACAATGTCGCCCAAACCACAAGGTATACGGCGGGTATCCGGTACTAGCCCGGACAGTGACGTTGTCCACCCATATTGCGTGACAAAAATATCGTGGCCAATCACTGTCCTTACCCTTGCGCCACTTGGATAGTGACGCTATCAGAGTCTGGTGTCCCCTCTCTACTGGGGTGTTCGATTGTGGGTGATAGGCGGTGGCTATCGAAACTCTCGCACCGGCTCTCCTAAACACACTCTGAACCTCGTCGGCTAGGAATTCCGCCCCTCTGTCCATCACTATCTTGCTGACACAACCATACCTAGATAAGTACTCTAGGACAAAGTTCCTTACTTCCTTTGTCGCCTTACTCCTGATAGGTCTACCGTCCACGAATCCAGTGAAATCGTCTCGTATGTTCACGACGAAGTTCATATTGCCTACGCCTCTCGGCATTTTCACTAGATCGATGTGTACCTTCTGTCCTGGTCTGGTCGGATAGGACGGATGAAGTGGCTCTTTGTATTTCACAAGAGCTCTCTTCTGACACTCTTCGCATGTCATACAGTACCTCTCGACGTCCTTATACTGTCCTTCCCACCAGTACAGCCGGCGTATCTTTTCGTAGGTTCCTTTAACTCCCCTGTGTCCTCCGACTACCCCGTCGTGAAGTTCCGCAACTATCGTCTGTCTTTCCTCAGGATCATAGACTACTCGTAAGGGCATTCCCGACCCTACTGGCCTTCGTAAAATGTGGCCCGCTCTAAGGCAGTACTGGGCCGTTTGCCTCCGGATATCTGAATCTTGACTCTCCTCTCCCGTCAGGTGTAGTCCGATCATTCGGTAATGCCCTCGTAAATATTAACTAGGAATCTCTCGACGCGCCTCGGCTCTGCCATTGTCAGAGCCCCAGATACTATTGGACGCTCGAGAGGGATGCGTGAAAGTCCATCTGCCATGGCATTTTTCGTACCAGATACTCTTTCGACTGTGTAATCGTATAGCTGAATCCGTGTTAACCATCGGGCGATGGTCAGGTCCGTCAGACTAAAGTTCTTCTGGAGGACAGAGACAACCGCTGTGGGGTCTACTCTCAAGATTAACCGTCGCCCATAGATATAGTGTCTGAACGTGTCTAGACACCGGAGAACAGCTAACACTTCCTTCTTGAATTGACTGTAGTTACGCTCAGCTGTATTAAGTGTCCTACTCTCAAATCTTAACGGTCTTTCCTTCCCTCCAGCGTCCTTCTGAGATAGCAAAGCACCCACTGTACATGGTCCAGCATCTGTGGATACTTTGAAGGGTCTCTTGGTTTCATTGTCAAAGAATGGCACACCCAACAGGCGTCCTCCTTCCTTAAATTCATCTTTATGTTCTTGCATAGCAAGTTCCTGCGAAGAATCCCAATAGAAGTTTTCTCTCTTTCGAAGGAGTAAGCTCAACGGCTCAGCCTTCTCCGCATACCCCCGTATGAATATACTCTCTCTTTCGAAGGAGTAAGCTCAACGGCTCAGCCTTCTCCGCATACCCCCGTATGAATATACGCCAGTAACCAACCACTCCTAGAAACTGCCGGACCTCGGTTGGGCTATGTAACGGTGAGGGCCAGTTCAGAAGTTTGTCTAACTTCGCCGGATCCGCTCGGCGTCTTCTCGAGTCACATATAAATCCCAAGATCTTAATAGTCGAGACGGCCCATCGGCTCTTTGTTCCTCTGACTGTTAAATTCGCATCGTCCAGCTGCTCGAGTACCGCACAAATATCTGTTAGGTGGTGTTCGACAAATCTTCTAACTTCAGGTACAACCTCTGTCTCATCCCTGTTTACTGACCCTTTTATAGGAAAGTCATCTAGAAAAACTTCAACCTCATCAGGGATGAAGTCCTTGAGAACAGCAACCATGGCTCTCTGAACGGCTACCCCATTAGTCCAACCCATTGGGACAACCATCATCTGTATTAGTCCCAATGGCGTATGCATAGCCGTGAGGTGCCTGTCTCTAGGGTCAAGTGGTACCTCATCATAGCCTGAGAACAGATCACAGATCGAATAGATCGACCTACCTGTTGCGCCTTCTGCCAGCAAATCGGCGTGTGGCACGGAGCCCACGTCTCGTATCGTCACCGCGTTGACCTTCTGAAGGTCCTGAATCCATCGGATCTTGCCATTCGACTTTCGTAGGAAGAACCATCGATTTGCATAAGCGCTATCAGACGGCTCCGCAACGTGGGAGACCTTCTTTTCTTTCAGGAAAGCGATAACCTCTTCCTTCTCCTTCTGAGCGTACTTCCATCCCGCGTCGTTCCAGGGAACATGTGGTATCGTGTAAATCCTTGTTGGCTTAGCGTATCGAGGGTCAATCCTACCGCGCTCCGCGTCGCTGAAAGTTATTGCCTTATCACATGTCTTCATAATTTCTCCCACACGTCCTCGCTCCTGTAGGGTCAGATTTCCATCTCCGATGTCCATCCCTGCTATCCTATCTTGCGTCAGGCGTTGTGGCTCCTTTCTCTTTTTTTCTTTGATTTCTTTCGCGATCTCTTCTTCTGATATTCCTTCCAGTGCAGATCGCTTGCGGCCCACCGCCGCTGGCTTAATTTTTTGAGCTACTCGCTTGCGTCGCTTGGGCAGCCCCCCATAGGGGGCCGTGCCCTTAAAAAAAACACGGATACCACACCGCCAAATTCCTCATCTTTTTCCTTTGGGTACGAGTTGCCGTCCACTATTAGCCGACTCCCTAAATCTTCCACCTCCACGATCCGACCTTCTTCCTCTGTGAGCAGCGGTCCATATCTCTTCTCGCGAAATCGCACCGCGCGGTCGGAGATGGGTAACGACTTAATCTGATCACTGGGTCTTGCACCCACAGCGAGAGCTGCTCTGTTCCTCGGGTCCCGAGGCTCCACTGTCTCAATCGTCACCCGTGTCCCGTCTGGCTACCTAATGGACAATGTTTGGCCCCCATCAGGTCGTTCTATCGTCACCGCATGCACGTGGCTCAGCCACGTTCGACCCAAGAGCAGGTCGGAGCTRCAGTTCTTGACTGCAAAGACAGGCAGGGTCACTCTTAACCCTTGGACCTCTATGACTGCCTTGTGACAAACCCCGGTGATCTGTTGCTTTCTCCCATCAGCCGTCTCTATCTCGAATAGGTATGACCTATCGAGGCCCAGTCCAGCTTGTACTGCCAGGTCCTCGTCTATGATGACAGCCTCACTGCCGTTATCAATCACAGCATCGAGTATCACTCCATCGTTTATAATCGTCTCTACGGCCCCGCTACCAAGTATATAAAACTTGTCTGGAGGCACACCTTCCATCCCATCGAGAAGGACTGTTGCCATGCGATCTGCTCCGGCAGTCACCCCCGTTACCGCTACTGTAGAAGCTTCCGCTTTAGGGGCCCCCTGGCCCTCCTCTGATAGAGGTATGCGAGTCTTCCGCGTGATCATCTGTAATTCATCACGAGCCGGCTTCGATGCCGCCAGGTACTCCAAAATAGAGCACTGCATTGGTTGCCGAAGGGCCCGCCTCAGTGGCTCAACCGTGTCAATCTCGTCCAACGAACTCTTCATTAAGAACTTCTTCACTCCCCTCTTTCGTGGCGAAAGGATAACCTCCTCTCCATCGACCCGCTGCCCGTCCTTCTCCGTCATCACATAATCCGTGTCTGTCTTCTTCGATGTAGACCCTCTTGCCGACTTGGTGGCTGCCACCCTTATGGGTGTGGTCGCGATATCCTCTTCAAAGATTATCTTGATGCTCGGACTCCTTACCGGCTCCATTCCTTTACTCGTTTTTTTTCTCCTTGCTTCGACATTCTCCTTCATCGAAGGGAACATCGATACATCTGCCAGATCATCTGCCCACTTGACGTACTTGCGGTCGTCAAGCACAACAAGTCCCTCATCTATTGCCTGTTTGAGGTCCAGGCAATCCCTCTTGATATGATCTTCTCCTCTACAGTAGACGCATGAGTTCCTGGGAGTAGATGCCCTGTCCTCTGCGCCGCTAGACATCGAATTCCTGGCCGTCTTGGGGTCAGGCGACTTGGGATATGGTTCTGATGAGACGCCATATCCCCCTCTCTCATTCTGACCGCGTGAATCGTTGCGCCGGTCTCCTCCAGACCCTCCTTGGTCATACCGCCCTCGCGAATCAGTCCGGCGGTCCCCCGAGTCATATCGTCCTCGTGACTCATCGCGTCGGTCCCCTCGGTTGTACCATCCCCGCGACTCGTCGCCCCTATATCCATCTCGGTGGCCCTGTTCTGTCTCCCATCGGCCGCGGGAGTCGCCTCTACTCCGATCGGCCTCATAGCGAGGGCTTCGGGGGTAATCATCTAGCCTCCTCGCTCGCACAAACAGCACGCGATCCCTGCGGTCTCGGTCTATCTCATCGTCCCTACGTCGCCATGATTCATCGTCTCTCTCTCTTCCCCTCGTACGATAATCAGTTAGCGTCCGAGGATTTCTATCCTCGACACTCCTCCAGGGATCGTTGTTCCTACGGTCCCAGCGAAGTGAATAGGGCCCTCCAGGTTTGTCCCGGTAGGCCGTGACCCCTGTGGCGGTCACAATCTCTGTAACCTGTCTCGTTAATCCCTTTACCATGTCCCGTATCTCCTTCACTTCCTCAGATAATCCTTGAAATCAGGACATCGATCTGTGGCATACTCCTTGTAGAGACAGAAGTCACGTCTCCTCATCCCTCTCCACACCAAATCCTTGTAATCGTCTGCCTCAGCCTTTATTGTGAGCTTTAAGACTTCTGGGAAATCAAGCCTGTCGCGCGGAAGATCTCTAAGTAACTTTTTTGTCTTCCTTTGAACAAGTGTCCGATAAAGATAGTACAACGCTCGACCTCTGAGATCTTCCCCTTTTTCATCAGCACGTCAGAGATTTTCTGGAAACGCATTCCAAATGCCCGTACGCTCTCATCTTCATCTTGAGTCATTGTTTCAAGGTCCTTGATGGAATACTTATTATCTTCCAATTTGTAAAGCTCAACGAGGTTCTTCTTGTACGTAGTCCATTTCCCATCCTTCGGTCGAGCCTCCTTAACTTCCCTACCAAGACTTGGGTCCACATTAAATAGGAATTTCTCTATAATCTCTTCCTCCGACCACTGACTCCGGCTGGCGTGAAGCTCCCACTTCTCCAGATATTCTGTGATTCCATATCCCCTGAAGGTAGGAGGCTCTGAGGCCTTGTGCGTAATAATATAGCGATCCTTGCTCTCGTAAGGGAGTGGATGTGACTCCCCTGTCTGGGGGTCGAAGACTCGCCTGGGCGGCGCCCTGTCTCTATCTCTGTCCCTCCAATAGGAATCCCTCAAATTCTCTCTCCAGTCGTCTCTGTATCTGTCCGCTATGGTGTCCCTCCGCTCGTACTCGGGGGAGCGCCGCCTTGTCGCTTCTCGTCGTCCGCTCGAGGTACCCGTCTTTAGAGCCTCCTGCGGCTCTGTCGCAACTGGTTCGCCTCTCATGTCGGACCCTCCGTCATTGGTTTGGTCAACCCATCTCAGCGGTGCTTCTTGCCTAATTCGTTTCTTCAGATCCCTCAGTGCTCGATCGAGCGATGCCCTGTACTCCTCTCCCGCCTCGCCCGTGGTCGGTTGTGGCCCCATCGTGTCGGGTTCCATTGGACCGCCAGAAGATGCAATTAGGTATTCTAGCCAACTGTTACAGCCCGACCCTATGACAGTCGCGGCAGTCCGGACCTGTTTCTTTGTCACGACTCGCGTCCGCCTCTAATTTTAGCCCTCGACTGCCTTGATTACCACCTCCAGTATCCCGTACGGGTCGCAGATCTCGTGTTCTCTCTCTATCCCAAGAATCCCTGTGTCTAAGTAACCTCTCCTTCGGGATCGGTCAACAAGGTCGTGCCTGTCCGGATCCTCAGCACGGCCGTGACAGGACCTCTATCCTTGAGACAGATTGAAATCCGAAACCTAGCCAAAATCTCCCAATTAACACTCCTCAAGAGTCCCTGAGCGTCTCTCTCCGTTCTCCTTGCTAGTTCTCCTAGCCCTGTCCGAATCGGTTAGCCCGCTAAAGGCCCTCCTACTGTCGCCCAATGTCGCCCATCAACCTTTCTAGCCTCCTCTATCCTTCCAACAGCTTCCAATTTTTATTTCCACTACCTTATCTCCTCAATGGTTACGAGGTCATCTGTCTAACAGCTGAGGCAAGTTAGTGCTATAACGACTTGTAACCTCCTCGCCGACCGCTCCAATATGTCATAAAATGTCTCAAAGTCCTCATTATCTCCTCCTTCGTCTATCGCCTCTAAAGTCTTTATCGTTTCCTTCTAGTAACGGTTGTGAGCGGCTAACACCCTGAGTATTGCACCATCTGTTACAACTCTCCCTAACTCTCCAGCTTCCCTGGCTTCGCTTATCTTCAACCTCTCAGCCTGTTTGGTCGTCTCGTACCATGCCCTTATCCGAGACCGCCCTTCGAAGGGTGTTACTCGGAGTACGTACTTTATCCTCCGTCCTCCTTCTATTCCAATCCAAAGTCTTGTCCCCCTTGCCTCACGCAGGGCACGGCGGACACACTCTGCCTCCTCAACTATGCACAGTCTGGTATGGAGCTGGAGTTCTATGATCACTAACACTAATGGTCCGTCCAATCTCCCTACCACATGTAACGAGTACCAATCCGTCGTGTGTAGTGCAGTCCCGCTCATGTCCTGTCGCTACTCCCCTGCGTTACTTTGTCTTCCATTGTCTCGCTCTCTGCAGATCGCTTACTAGTTTTTTTGCGTGATACACTTCTAGCCTTTATCCTCTCCAGAAAGTCTGATCTCCACGCCTGGCTAATCTCTCTTTCTTCCCTAAACAGATTGTCTAACTCTCTTGTCACGAGTTCAGCCCTTTGCAACTTGCCCTCGTATTGACACAACCAGATCTCCCTTAACTTGTCCCCCAACTTCTTTACCTGGTTCAAGAGTGGTTCTTTAACGCGCTTTCTCACTCTTCCGACTGCCTCACTCTCCCCTTCCATACTCAGTCCACATCTTTCTCCAGCTCACCCTCTCACCCTCGCTCTAGCCGTGGCTACCGTCTGATCGTGGTAGTGCTCCGCGCGCATATAACCATGAGACCATATCATCACATCATAGGAAATCGAGGTCGGGAAGGTCACTCGCGCCAGTACATCAGCTCTACGCTCGTGGATCAAATCCCTAGCTCGTTGTCTGCACTCACTTGCGGTCAAGTCCTCGTCTACGTACGCTCGGAGAAGTACTGTCACAGTGTATCATGTGCTCACCAGTTGCTCTTCTACACGCATCACCGTGGCCGTCCTTCCCGGCATTCCCTAAGCTGCGACCTCGAAGAGAAATCTCGCGTCCTCTAGCCCCGCGTAATGGATCTCTGCCCGTCTCCTGCAGTACCTAATCAGATCGATAGGCCTCAGACAACCCACCCAACTCGTAACATCTATGATGTCGTCAAGGGTCTCTCTACTCGGCGGCCCCCACCTCACACAAATGGCGTAGTATACTTCCTTGAAGCGGGGCGCTAAGCCCTCCCAGAGCGCGTAAAGTGTGTGATCCACTGCTCTCCTCAAACGATCCACGCTCCCATAGGTCTGCCCTATCACGAAGCTAGGAACTCCGAACCGCCAATCCTTTCTCGAGTAGAGGGTCGGATGTGGTGGACCGTATACCAAGCAGCTCCTACTCGTCCTCCCTCCAGCAAGTCTCGCCAATTGCTGATTAACGATCACTCTGGCCAACAACTCGCTTCTCCACCAACTCCTGCTCGCCCCTGCGAGCGTTAGCCCTATCTCTAAATCGTGTGTTCTATCCGCTATTAGATGTCCGACCCCTTCTAGATCATGAGTCCTCTCGGGTCGTTCGTCTCGTAGTATCACTGTCCATAGGAAGAGCCCCTCAGCGAGCCACGTTCCCAAGTATCGTATCGGTACTCGACCTGCGTCTTCTAACGCCACAGGAAGTGGTATATCGTATCCAACCGCCGTCTCTCTGGGTCGCACAAGCTTCCTCACACTATACGATTCGGACTCTCGTGAGAAAACATAAGCTAACCAGGCCGCTGAATCACTCCTCATTTCTTCTCCTACTCTCGGTCAGCATCACTCTACTCCCTCCGATACACCCCATCTCTCAACGTTGCTAACCCTTCTGACAGCTCTCGCACTCAAGTCCAGTATGGTCGAATGGGTTCAGTAGCCAGGCTCACTCCTCCGTCGCCCTGGTGCGCTCCTCTACCTCCTACGCCCGGACCGCTACTCCTATCCTGGGAAAATGGGCGTCTATAACGTCAATCTCTTCCTCATCAACCTCACTCTCTCGGTCGACCCAGTCTGGTTCCCACAACTCCTCGTCGTCCTCTCGCTCCCAACCCTCGTCGTCAAACTCGTCCTCGACGCGGTACGGCGCCTGTCGTATGGCCTGGTAGTATTCCATCAACTGATGGACGTATATCAGAGGTCGCCCGGCGTCCTCATTCCACCAGCTCCCCCAGTCGTCTGAGAAGAGCCGCCCGATGCAAGTCACGTACTCGGGGCCTGCTCGGAGCTCACGGTCTAGCCAATCCCAAACGCACGAAGACTGGGGCCACTCGTCATCTATCGAGCGGATCACCTCTATAAGCTGAACCCTCTCGTCTCCCCAACGAGACCCACCGGTCGCAAGCGAATAATAGATGTAGCCTAGGTGGGCAGGCCTTCTTGCCAGGATCTTGAGATCCTGATAGGCCAGATATGTCTCGACCACTCCACCAATACCTCCAAAGACGCTCTCTACTACGAACGTCGGAACTATCGTCCGCAGGCTTCTAACGCTGTACGGGAAAAACCCGTCCCGTGCTACTACGAGCTCGCCCGTGATATCAAGAGGAGGGCGTCCGCGAAATAGGGTCAACGGGACGCTCGCGTCCTCCGCTCGGAATGCCGCTACCTCTTCCCCTAGGTAGCGTAACGCCTTGCTAACTGCGTCACTAGTCCCTATTGTCGCGAGGCCCACCACGGCCTCCCTGACTGCACCCGGTCCCAAATACAAGTAGGCTCTCACTACGCCCACTCCTTACCCCGGCCGGTGCTCTTTGTAAGTCCAAAGCCACACGTCCTCCGACAGGATTATGGACCTCCACGCAAACTAGCCATCAGCGTGTCGAATGCTGCGTCCGGGGATCGTGAGCTCGACCTGATCCCCCTCTATGAGTTCAGGGGGCTCTAAGTCCCAGTCAATGGTAGCCCCATAGACCTCTACTTGCACCCGCGGCCACATTCAACTGGCGGCTAGAGAGAACGCARCAAGCGRAAGGTGTAGATTAATAACTGAAATTTCGCGTCGCTTGCCTCACGCCTTCGAGAACAAGCTAGTAGGTTCAYCTGAAACCAGGTTACCGCAACGTCCCTTTCCCTTCTCCTTCTAGGGAATTCTTTTRTATTTTTCAATAAGAAATTAAGGAAAATGTATTTAGTWAAGATAAAATTTCTTTCTTAGTTTATATATATTAAGGATCAATACTTATATAAGCCCSCCGAGTYTGAAACTTTTTAGGGGTAGAAATAAAATTTGGGGATTTTACTAAAATTTCGGCAGCGTTTCGCCTCCCCCCTGTTGGGATGGGGTTCGGGACTATTGTCCCTAGACAAATTCTACCTACCCAGAACTAAAGCCAAATGAAAGAAGAGGAAAGTCGCTTAAAAAAACAAATTTCTAACGTATTTATAATTAATTTCCCTAATCGCTTTCAATATATTTATATAAAAAAAATAATAATAATTTAAATTAGAAAATTTTTTGAAATTTCGACAGCACTTCCCCCCCATCGGGATAGGGTTTGGCCGAAGGCCTCAAAATACCTTCGGTAGATGTTTAACAAAAAAGATTAAGAACTGAAAAAGTATCTCAGTCTTTAGCTAATTTTCAAGTATTTTCTTTAATTATTTAAGATTTAATTCAATAAAATTCARYAAAYTGCCRAGAAATTTCGGYAGCACTTTGCTTCCCCCCGTTGGGATGGGGTTAAGCGAAGTATCTCCCGAATCACAAAGTCGAAATAAAGCCGACTCCCCTTTCTTGAAGAATTTTAGATATTTATTTTGATTTTCAATCAATTTTTAATGAYGAATTATTACTTAAAACAAATTTACAACTTAAATTATTTAATTAAAACAAAATTYCCAATTTTGAYTAATTTCAATTYRRTCAAYTGGATTTATACAAAATTTTCCCATCACCTGTCRGATAGRAASACTTGTATTCRCCCGGCTATGCACCGCCCTTCCCTTACTTRGGGTTAGGGTTTACCCTAATTWGGGTTTCCCCCAATTAGGGTTTTGGGGTTTTGCGCGCRACCGCACGCCACCSCGTCCGACTTCTCGAGGCAGAAAATTTTCCGTCGGTTTGTAGTCARCTAAAAGCAGGGTTCCAACGGATCATTTTTGCCGACTTCTGTTTTCCCTTTATTATTATAAAATCATAAAGAAAATCACTTATTCCTCTTAATTTTCCCCTCTTTTCCTGTCTGTTGGCGATCACCACTCGTCGTAACGGAGTCCGTTTTCTCCGACTAAGGTCTCAAAATGTGGGGCAAAATACAAGGACCAACTTTGGTCCSGGCGAAGTTCACCTAATTTCGCTTCTTTACTTCATAATTAAAATAAAAGAAAATTAATAATTTTTGGAATTTTAATTCAAAAATTACAAAAAATTCCATATCTCCTTTTCTGGCCATTGAAATTTTCCTAAAAATGTTTTAAAACGTTTTCCTCGACAAGAGGTCGAACTTTGCTCCCAGTGCGCCCTGCGCAAAAACGCACGGATCAGAAGATATCGAGGAAAAACCAATTAGAAATTTTAACCCATTATTTTTGGGATTTTTAATTAGAAAAATACAAAAAAATCCATATCTTTTTTTCTAGCCGTTAGAATTTTTCAAAAAACGTCTCAAAACGTTCGCCTTGACGAGAGGTCGAACTTTGCTCCCAGTGTGCCTCGCGCAAAAACGCACGGATCGGGAGATAAGGAAAACAAACAAGATACAGAATAAAAGAAAAATTAATAAAATCAACTTATCAACTTTTTTCAAAGCTAACGAGTTTCACTTTGGCACCCCCGTTGATCGGGGAAGGCCGTGGCCTTGGGGGTGCAGTCCCCTCCCCAGCAACGGCGCCAACCTACCGCTCGTTGAAGCCAGGGGCAACAGCGCCTGTCACTCGCCGTGCCCGCTTCCGAGGTCCTCAACGAGCAGCAGGGATCTTGGTAGGAGACACCCTGTCTCGCTACCTATTTTTCTATTCTCTTTCTTCTTTATTTTACAACTTCACACCGCCAACAGTTTCGATYAGCCAGCTGGTAAATCAACAGGTTCAGACAATAATGAGTCTCATTAGTCAATCGACAAAACAGTTGATTCAGACAGCTATGTGTTTCAATAGTCAACCAGTCATTTGGCCGGTACAAACCGCAATTACCTTCAATAGACAAACGATAAATCGACCGGTTCAAGCAGCAATGAGTTTCAATGACCAACCGGTACACCAGCAGGTTCGCACAACAATGAATCTCGACAGCTTTTTAACTGTTCTTCTTCTTTCTCTCTCACGCTGTTCTCCCTTGCGCTGTTCTCTTTGTCTCTTCGAATGTTCTCCCTCTTCTCTTCTCTCTTCTCTCCTCTTTCTTCTCTCGCTGTTTTCTCTCTTGTCTGTTTTGTCTCGTCCTTCCGCCCCCTTTCGTTGCGCACTATCTCTCTGCGCGCAGACTATCTCTTTCTCTCTCCACGTATGTGGCTTTCTCTCTCCCTCTCCCTTCACACTCTCTTGCGGATCCCCACTTTCCCGTTCCGATAGATCCTTCYGTCGTTTGAACCCTRCTAGGCAAGGGAGTTTTGATTTCTGCRATGACCTATCGATTACTGGTTCARCAAGAATTTGGCTCTGCTTTGCGATCAGATCTGACCCCAGAAGTTTGAGATCGCTCTAGCGGTCGTCCGRGCCCTCGTCCAGCGTGCATTCGCCCCAGTTCGCGGCTTGTTTAATCTGCAAATACTCAAGAACGATCAAGCTGGCACGCCGAACCCATCGCAACGCTTTACCCGGACCGCGCTAGAGGACCTAGCAATGAACAGACTTCGACAGAAGATCAGCACTACACATCGAGTCTCTAGCGGCGGTTTCCATGCCCAAAGCTTAGTCAAATGTGAAGCGGGCGTTCCGAGCCCGCCATGGGCAGATCAATGTTCAGTATTTAAGTGAGAGCAAGTTGCATTTTGACCCTGATGCCTCGCTAAACTCACTCCGCTTTAGTGGCCAGATTCAATACTCCAAAATTACGGGAGATCAAGAGAGCATTTCATGACAGATTTCTCGCAGTACTCACCCTGCCTTAGCGGGCAGACTTAATACTCCAAAATTTGCTGGGATTCGAGTGGGCATTTCAAGCCTAATAAATGACTGTATTCACYCCGCCTTAGCGGGCAGTTYGAATACTTCAGWACTGCGAGAATTCGAGTGGGCATCTCAAGCGTGGTAATTCACTGTATTCACCCCGCCTTAGCGGACTGATTCAACAGTTCAAAATTGCGAGAAATCAAGT